TCTGAAGAGGCACTTCAGAGATTGGAATGTATTCTACAGGTGTTCAATGTTCGCTGGTTTAACTTAAACAATAAAAATGCACGTTTTTACAAAATGAAGTAGAATACTTAGGTTCGGTTATTAAAAATGGAGAACTTAGACCGTCACCTGAAAAGATACAAGCGGTAAAAGAGTTTCCGAAACCTGAGAATGTCCATGAAATTAGGAAATTTCTTGGCTTAGTGTCTTACTTTAGGAAGTACATTAAGGATTTTCCCATAAAGTCAAAACCATTAACAATTTTGACCAAAAAAGCTACACCGTGGATATGCCACACAAGAAGAATCTTTTCAGAAATAAAAGACGAATTATTGCACGATCCAGTATTAGCATTGTATGATCCAGAATTGGAAACTCAGGTTCATACAGATGCCAGTAAATGGGGTTTTGGTGGCGTACTTCTACAAAAACAACCTACAGGTCTCTGCAAACCAGTAGCTTATATGAGTCACCAAACATCGGATTGTGAGTCCAGATACCACAGTTTTGAATTAGAAACAATGGCAGTTGTAATGAGTGTCCGGAAATTTAGAAACTTCCTGTATGGCAAAAGGTTTACGATTGTTACCGACTACAATTCTTTGCGCTTAACTTGGACAAAGAAATATCTATCTCCAAGAGTAGGTAGATGGTGGTTAGAATTGCAGGAGTATGAATTTGATGTAGTATATAGACCGGGAACACTGATGAAACATGTAGATGCTCTAAGCAGAAGAGACATATCTCATGTTACATTGATAAGAGAAGCAGATTGGGTACAGTGTGTTCAGAACGAAGATGAAGATTGCAAGTTAATAAGAGAGCAGATTAAAAATGGCACTTCGGAAAAGTGTTTTGATCTAATTGAAGGTAAGATCTGTCGCTTGATTCAAAACCAGCCAAGAATTTTAATTCCAAAAGAAGTACGCTGGAGGATAACAAGATTACATCATGACGAAAATAGACATCCTGGTATTCGACGTACCTAAGAATCAATAGGAGAGAAGTATTGGTTTACAGATATGAAAAACTTTGTGACAATATTCATAATAACTGATATATTCCAGTGTTCTAAGAATACCCAACGGGGGAAAAGAAAGAGTCGACTTTATCCAATTAAAGAAAGTTGACAAACCTTTTCATACATTACACTTAGACCATCTTAGAGACCATTTTTTGTAAAATCCAAAAAGGAAACATTATTGTTAGTCACTGTAGACTCGTTTACAAAATACACTTGATTGAAGCATGTTCCTGATACTGGAGTTACACATGTGATTAGTACTTTGGAATTGCTGATAAATTTTTTTGGTATACCAGAAAATTATTACAGATAGGGGAAATGCTTTACAAGTAACGGCAATGACATTTCACTCACTATTTTGATTTGTTTCATTTTTAAGGATGGTGTGATGTCGAAGTTGAAAGAAACTTCAGTTTCACTTCACTGTTTTTGATTTTGTTTTATTTCAAGATGGTTTGTGATGTCGAAGTTGAAAGAAACTTCAGTTTCACTCACTGTTTTGTTTTGTTTTATTTGAGGTGGTGTGATGGCGAGGTTTTGAAAGAAAAACTTCATTTCACTCACTATTGACTTTTGTGTTTCATTTTTCAGATGGTGTGATGGACGAGTATATATGCAAAACAAATTAACGCACAAATATCAGAAGAATATTATAAAAAAAAAAATATGTAATAAATTATATAAAAAAAAAAAAAAAATTGTATTATTACATTAAAAAAAGATAAACCTTAATTATAGAACAGCCAATAAAAACAAACTAATTATATGGAGACATGAATAAATACCTAAGTATTCTGATGTTAGCTTGTTTATTTCAATTTCGTTTGAAACTTAAAATGAAATCTACCCTATCTTTATAGGTATTTTTAAACTGGCCAATTGAAGGTAAGTATCTCAAGTATCCTTATAAAAAACCCAAATTTTTAATTTCAAGCAAAATCTCTTCTTTATTTAAAAAATACCGCATATTGAATCCGCTAATTTGATTTTTTTCTTCAAAAATATTATAAAAAGTGTCACCGGAACTCAATACGTGTGCAACATTTCGGAAAAATTGGGATAATAGAAGTGATCAATAAAGCTGCTGCCAGTTGCAAAAAACAAAGGTTGGTAAAGTTAAATAAAATCGTTTAAAAATATTAAACTATTTTTATACCGCGATATCTCTAATGGTTTACTAATGCAGTGTTCTTTATCGCTGGCAATTAAGTTTTAATTAAAAATATTACTCCATAAAATATGTTGGGACCATTAAAAGTTTTTAAAGTAGTTTTATTTAACTTGCCGAAGAATTAATAATCATATACTTTTCAATTTACAACAAAAAAATAAAATACAACCTCTGTATACATTCCGGAAATTTATTAAATACGTCTCTGTATTCTACCGCTATTAAATGGCGGCCCAATTCGTGAAACGTCACGGATTTCAGCTCCAGTTAGGTTTCTGGTTGATATCTATTCTGTGGTTTGGTCTCGGGTGCTATTGTCCTTGTTATTCTTTAGCATTGGTGAATAATACAATATATACGCACTAACCTTCACTTTTTTCACTTTGAAAGCCAAAGCATATTCGATTTTCGACTTTCAACGTTCAAGTTAGTGTTTAAAACAGCAAAAGTTTGACAAGGACAAGATTTTGAATGTTTGTGTGTTTTGCTGGTCATTAACGTGATAAGTTTGTTATTTGTTCTTGCTATTAGACCAAAGAATTCTTGGCCTATGGGACACTTTAGCCGGCCAGAACTAGACTTTTGGCGGCAATGAGACGCTACCTGCAGTCGATCGACCTAAAAACGCAATCGAAACGATAATCGGAGTGTAACCAGTGTATATTTCCAAATATATACATTTTATTAATGATCCTAGCAACTCTACCAGCGTCAACAGCTACACCAGAAAGGTCTTTTTCAACCCTAATGACGCAACCGCACATGCGGCATTCAGCGATCTTCGATCGGGGCTTCGCCGAATTCCTATGTGTGTGGATGAGGAAGTCGGAGTTCGGCGACTCGATCGGCTACGAAAACGAGCGCTTGTCTCTATGTTGTTGCTATCAGAGCACGCATGTGTGGATGGAAAAGCGAAGTGTGTCCGAAAATCACGAGCGTTCTGGTAGTTGACGGCGCGCTCGGAGTTCGCTTAAATGCGCATGTGCGGTTGCGGCATAAGACGATTGAAGGATTCCCTACGTAACTCTACAGGTCAGGAGCGATTGACAGGACTTGCTTTATTAAGCGTACATAGAGGAAATAAATATCGATATTCGAAGAGGTAGTCAACCGTTTTTTCAGGGAAAAGACCAGTTTATCCTTTAAGATTAAATAAGATTTTTACCTGTTACTTTTAAAATTTTTATTTTCATTAAGATTTGAGTGTAGGCCATTGCTTGGAAACTTATATGGTGAATTTTGATAAAAATAATTTAGTTACACACTAAAACACGGTATGTCGCTAGTGTAGGAAAAATAATTTTTAGAGGTTACTAGTTATTTGGTTTGCCTGTGATATGCATAAACAGGGTGTTTCTAATTAATCTAAAACATAAAAAAAAAAAAATCGTTAGAAAACGAATTAAGGCGGGCTTCTTAATAAGTATATTTATTTTTTTCTTCTGGACAACCGTTTGATGAACAAGAAAAACTCCAAAAGATTCAATTTTGTTTGAAAAAAAGGGATGGCCAGTCAAGAAAAAAGTTTTTTCTTTAATTTTTTTTTTTTTTTTTTTTTTTTTTAAGCAAAAAAATCGATTTTTTTTTAAATTTTTATACCCTGTAGATCAGATAGGAAGTACTTTAGACCTAATGGTTATATTAAAATTGTTTTTTTAAGGAACACGATGAGGAATTACACCATAATTTTTTTTAGACTATTCGAAAACACCCTGAATATTTGTCAACTTGACAATGACTACTGATAAATCAAAAACACCTTCAGTGAAGAAAGCCTCTGATTTTCGCGGAAGAATTTTGATGTTTATGAATTTGGGCCTGCGTTTGCAAATAATCGTTTGTTTTTTTAATTTTCTATCTATCTAAATTTTAAATATTATTAGCGAAATAGTTTTATTATTTATTAAACTGTTAAAAATGTGTTTTCTTGTATTGTGTTTGCATCCTTGCAAAGAAACTAACAAAACTGGAAAAATGTACGTGTTTCCAAAAGACGGTAAAGTATGTATCTTAGATAAAAGAAAAATATATGGTATGTATTCGTGGTTTGATTTTTTTTTTTCGTTCGCTTTAAAGTCTATAAATCTCGGTCTATTCATTAGACAGCCAGTCAACTTACGATCATTTACATGAAACTCTGTAAAATAAATAAAAAAATAAATCGTAAAATATATATTCTTATGTTTTATTAAAGTTACTCTGATATACTAATATATCAGTGTAACTTTAAAAATAAATCCTTTGAATTCAAATATAAACATAAAAAACATTTACAGCAGAAAAGACGAAGGTGCTGGGTTAAACGTAGTCTCCACTAAAAACACGGAGGGGCGCTTTGACCCAAAATTTTACTATTAAGTTTCATATCTATCTTAATAGTAGATTGTTTTCTTTTATCTATGGTGTAGCCTAAAGTGATTTTTTTTATTATGCTTTTTTCCTAGCCGCTTTTGTACCCCCCCCCCTCCTCCAAGCCAAACCACACCCGAAAATTTGGTTTAGATACGGCCCTGCTTTCAACTCAAAATAATCAACTTAATATTATACCAAATCTACATAAAATATAAATAAAAATTTTCTATAGTACAAGTGTTAGAATAAGAGAAAAAAAAACATAAAAAAATTAAGAAATAAATACACTTAAGGCTTGTACATTATAGAAATACTCGGCACTGTCATTGATTACAATACATTCTTTTTCCGATATTACAAAATCTTTTAAGTACGCATCCATTTGATAAAGATATGTATACTTAATAATAAATAAGATAAATGAGTCTTGTTACTTATCAATTATTTTTAAAGCATATTATGTGTTCAACATACCAAAAAAATATATATTATCATTTCATCATACAAATCCAGTTACAAACCAATAAAACTTCTAATACTTATAAATACCCGACTGAGATCCTGATCTCAAACCTCTTGCTGTTATCTGATCAGGAACTTTTTAATAGTATATATGTATAACTGGCTGAAGTGAATTAGCCTTTTAAAGGCAACCGTGTTATAAGCTTCACTCAAATACACATGTATTTAGAGAATATCAAGAAGATATTTATTTCAATGAACGCAAAATTTAGTTGATTTAAACAGTTTCTTTTTTCTGTGTGCTGATTGATTATCATATTTTATAGTGTTTTGGGTTTTGGCAAGTTTTGGGTAACTTAAGAAAATTAATGTAGAACCACATAATTCTCCTTTCTTTTATAGGCCTCGACGACTATCATATTATGAAAAAGAACAGGTAAATATAATGATTGATGAATTATTACAAAAAGGCATTATACAGAGAAGTACTTCACAATATAGTTCTCCTATAGTTTTAGTAGCTAAAAATCCAACGGGTTTAAGACTTTGTGTAGATTATCGTCGTTTAAATGACATTACTGTTCGAGATAATTTTCCTTTGCCCTTTATTGATGACCAGCTAGATCGTTTAAGAAATAAGAAATACTTTACTCGTCTTGATCTTAAAGATGCATTTCACCATATAAATATATGTCAAGATTCAATTAAGTACACCTCTTCTGTTACACATTTAGGCCAGTATGAATATGTTGTTCCTTTCGGGTTAAAAAATAGTCCAGCCAGTTTTAGTCGGTATATTAACCTTATTTTTAAACATCTTATTGAGTAAGATAAAAATAGTATTTATATTGATGATATATTAATCGCGACAGATACCATCGAAGAAAATGTATTAATTTTAGATGAAGTATTTCACCTTCTGGTCATAAATAAGTTAGAGTTAAAATTAAATAAATGTTCATTTTTCAAGACAGAAATACAGTTTTTAGGTTATATAATTAATAAAAATGGTATTACTCCGTGTAATGTGAACATGGCAGTTAGTAATTTTCCCATTCCTAGAAATTTCAAGGACGTTCAAAGTTTTCTTGGACTAACATCTTATTTTAGTCGATTTTTTAAAGACTTTGCTCTTATAGCTAAACCGCTTTATGACCTTTTAAAAAAGAACGTAGAATTTAATTTCGGAAATACAGAATTACGCTCATTTGAATCTTTAAAATCTTTATTAATTGAAAAACCAATTTTATTTATTTATGATCCTCATGCTGAAACTCAATTACATTGTAATGCATCTTCTCACGGTTACGGTAGTGTCCTAATGCAAAAACAATCTGACGGAAAGTTTCATACTTTTTCTTATTTTTCGAAGAGAACAACACCTACAGAAACTACTGAGACTAAATATGTAGTAAAACATTTACAGTCGTATTTTCGGAGTTATAGTAAACCTATAAACATTATATCAGATCGCGGAACTTCTTTTACGTCACATGATTTTAGAAATTTTATACAAGAAAAAAACATAAAAAACATTTTATACAAAGAAATTCGACATATTTTAATAGCTAGTGGTGTGCCAAGAGGTATTGGTCAAGTACAAATAATTAACAAATCTATTAGAAATATGATAGCAAAATTGTGTGAATCTACAGATCGCTGGGACGAAGTAATTGAGCAAGTAGAGTTTTCGATAAATAATACTGTAAATAGGTCGACAAGGTTTACACCAAGTACACTTATATTTAGAATTAATCAGAAAGGTCAGGTTGATGATAATGTAAGAATTTATTTAGAAGAGAATCAAGATTGTGAACGCGATTTAGTAGCTATCAGAGATCAAGCGTCCGTAAATATTTGTAAATCTCAAGAAAATAATAAAACAAATTATGATAAAAAGCATATCACATCACAACTAACTTTGCTCTTTCAGGTTATAAAAGCAACGGCTTCCTTAATACTCGAAACACAGATGACACAATCCCAAATGCATTTTCAACTACTCTACGGGCTCGGCTCAGTCTAGAGTTGAAAATCCTTTGTTTTGAGCCTCTTTCGTATAACCCTGAATAGGGTTTCATCAAATTATCACTCAAAGCGAAAGCCTCTCCCAAAATTACATATGGCACAGGCGTTTCTTGCCCTGGCAATGTTTCTGACTGTGGCAAATTCAAATGTCCATTTTGTAGATCCTTGTACAATTGTGCATTAAAAACGCCTCCATCAGAAATTCTATCTTTGCAGCCGACATCCACAAAAAGAAAATTATAATTTGCATCCACCAGTGCAAATAACACAATACTGTAAAACGACTTGTAATTAAAATAGTCGCTTCCACTTCCAGTTGGACATTGTATAACCACATGTTTTCCGTCTATTGCACCAATAACATGTGGAAATTCCATTGCTGTTCAAAATTCTCAGAAACATGTAACCACTCCTGTTGACTTTCTGGCATCTGCAAATAAAAATACGAAAATAATACCAAAATATTAATAATCTGTGTTTTTGTGTTTTAGAATGAAGTCACTGATAATATCACAGATGCCGAAGAAGAAATTGTAACAGAAGATGATTGTCATGATACTAAAGAGACCAATGCTTTCTCAGAAAGTATACAAAACAGTTCACAGGAGTCAACTGATAATATTGTCGTACAAGTGAAACCAACAGAAGCACCTAAATCTATACCGCCTAAAACAAGAAAACGAAAAGTGGAAAATACATCAGATTCTCGTATTGATGAAGCATTTGATTTTTGAGATGTATGCAACGTGACGCCTGTGAAGTGTATGGTGAACATATTGCCGCGAAATTACGAACCTATAGCACGCGAACACACTCTGTGTCTCCACAAACAGCAAATTTAAACAACGAAGTTGAAACTACCACCCTATTTACTATGGTATCACGACCAAATTCGAATATACAATCCCTCGCTGAGACATGACTATCAGTGAACATTCACGTTCCATCCTCACAATCAGCATCAACGTATTTTAACAACTTCAACCCTTCCACACATTATTTAAATCAGTAGCTATAGTAGTATGTTTTATACACCTTCATGTAAAATAAATAAAAGAATAAAATTGTTAAAATATTACTTACTTTGATGTACTCCTCTAACGCTTCTATAATCGCTGCGCATACCTCGGGGATTGCTCTTGAAATAACCTGCTTGGACACTCTAAAAAGATATATGAGGGAGCTGTATGAATCTCCTATAGCTAAAAAACGAAGCACAATTGCCAATCTATTTTCGACGGGAATAATATCTCTGTAGTTTGTATCTTTTTTACTTATTTTTGGAACAGTCATTGAAATTAAGAAATCAAAGTCTTGAGATGACATTCGACTAAAATTTCTAAACAAACCAGTCCCATCTTCTGTTCTTAAGTCAGTCAACAGTTGTATCTTGCGTTTTTTATCATTCTGCTGTTTAATTAAGGCAGAAATTAATAAAAAAGCTGCGGCGCTAACAATTTGTTTTCGTCTCGGACCCATTTTTTTTGGCGCGCAATCAAGTCGGATCGATGACAAATGTTCGCAAACTATTGTTTTTGATCCCAGTGGAGACAAAATGTTTTAATGCAGACAGTAATTCTAGCATCAGTTTACCAGTTGTCTCGAAAACTAACACCAGTGAAATCAGCAGGTAAAATGTTTTAGTCTGTCGGTTTTGCAAAAATAAAAACATATATTTTTAGCAAATTGAGGCTCCCAAAAAATATATTATTTTGGACAATTATATCCCTCAAAACGGCTTCAAGGAACCTCTACTACAATAACGTTACCGTTTGAATTAGGAGACTTCATCCTCATTTCGCGACCAACCGATTCTAGATCTGTCAAGTTTACTAGAACAAACGATTGTGGGGAAAGCTATAAAAAATATAATACATTGTATATTATACAATGTCCAAAAGCAACTTGACTCAAGATGCCAATCTTATCTAGCCGAGATAATTGTGCAACATTGTATTAATCTTGTACCATTTAGGTAAGTAAAATTCTATTTTGTGAGAGATGTTTTTTCTCGAAACCTTATACTACTTATAATATCACTAAAAATAATGCTGATAAATTTCAATAGAATCGTCTGGAGAATATTTAAGAGATATTAGTAGAAACACTTTGTTTTAGTAATTATGGGTGTTTCAAAAGAAAAACCTTGGCAAACGCATTCAAAAAAATTAATGTGGATAGTTTAATTTATTTAGAAAATTTTTCATTTTTTGTATTATTTGCTTATCTGGAACCGTGATCGAGAAAAAAACCATTTCATTGCAGGTCCTTATTACATATTATATATTTTTTTTGCACACGTCCATTTGATTACCATTGACACCCTGTATCTAAGAAACAATGCAATTTCAGACCCATGTTTATGGGAACTATTTTTCTTATTTTCCAATGGGGAATCACCACCTGAAGTTTTTTGCATTTGTTTTGAAACACCCTGTATATAAACCTAGTGTATAGACAAACTTTTTTAGAGGCGGCTGCAGAATGAAGATTTTAGAAAATTAGTCGAAGAGATGGTGAAGAATTTCCTTAATGAATTGTCGCAGGTATATTATACAGCACCGATCAATAAACGAAGCTCTAAAACTCAAAAAAGTATTATTGCAAGGGGCAAGCTTGTGGACAAATATAGAAATAAACTTAGTTTTTTGAGAAAGGCACGTGCTTTACCTTCAAGATTGTTAGATGATGAAGGGACAGATGATTCTCATAATTTGCCTAATTATGGTGAGTGTTTCATTACAAATTTTCATGTTGAGTATTTGTTGTCATAATGCTGATGTTCCCGCATCTTAACGGTCTAATTCCTAATAGCATAATAGAAAATTGCTATTTTTAGACTTCTGATTCTGGGAGCGACGTCACATGGTTAAAAAATAACCAGGATCCCTGGGCCCGTATTCTGTAACTTTGACATAAAAACGTTACGCTTTCAAAGCTGTGAGCGCAAGTATTCGATCAGCGAAACGCAAGGCAGTTGATTTTGGTATTCTCGTTGCCATGCGAATCGTGTTCTGGATACGCGTTGAGCATATATTGGCAACATCACAATTTCTAATGTAGCTAATAGTCAAAAGCATGTCAAAAGTTGATAACTGACGGATGTAACAATGAAAAATGTATGTTACGTGAATTTCATAACCTATTGTTGAGTTATGTCAAGCTATTTTTCTATGGATATGTCATTCTTATTGTACGAGGGAAGTGTTGAAAACTCTTCTCAGCACTTTCGATATTTTGAGCAATATTTATAGCTGCCAAGTCGTAACTTATCAATTACTTATTGAGGAATTTATAGAAGAAGTAGTAATTTTCATTAAAGAGCAAGATCAAGTTACAGCCGACGCCCACTGTAATTAGACCACACTGTACATAATAATAAAACACTGTTTTTAGTGATGGGCGAGATATCACACCTTGATTTAGATAAGACTAGCATTAGACCTATTACAGGGCCTAGACCAAGGGCCGATGAATTGCGACTACTATAGGAATAAAGACCAAAAGTACGGACTTTTAGCGTTACATTTTTGTTACATCCCTTCTTAATATACCGGGTTGCCTCAAAATTAAACCACTTCATAGCATACTATTTTTTTAGATAAAAACGAAATTTGGTATGTTGGTATACAACGCATAAATTTAGGATTGATTGACATATTCAAAAAATCCGGCTTTGGAAAATAGATTTGATTATTAATGTTTTCTATATTAATCGCGACAGATACCATCGAAGAAAATGTATTAATTTTAGATGAAGTATTTCACCTTCTGGTCATAAATAAGTTAGAGTTAAAATTAAATAAATGTTCATTTTTCAAGACAGAAATACAGTTTTTAGGTTATATAATTAATAAAAATGGTATTACTCCGTGTAATGTGAACATAAAGGCAGTTAGTAATTTTCCCATTCCTAGAAATTTCAAGGACGTTCAAAGTTTTCTTGGACTAACATCTTATTTTAGACGATTTATTAAAGACTTTGCTCTTATAGCTAAACCGCTTAATGACCTTTTAAAAAAGAACGTAGAATTTACTTTCGGAAATACAGAATTACGCTCATTTGAATCTTTAAAATCTTTATTAATTGAAAAACCAATTTTATCTATTTATGATCCTCATGCTGAAACTCAATTACATTGTAATGCATCTTCTCACGGTTACTGTAGTGTACTAATGCAAAAACAGTCTGACGGAAAGTTTCATACTTTTTTTTTATTTTTCGAAGAGAACAACACCTACAGAAACTACTGAGACTAAATATGTAGTAAAACATTTACAGTCCTATTTTCGGAGTTATAGTAAACCTATAAACATTATATCAGATCGCGGAGCTTCTTTTACGTCACATGATTTTAGAAATTTTATACAAGAAAAAAAACATAAAAAACATTTTATACAAAGAAATTCGACATATTTTAATAGCTAGTGGTGTGCCAAGATGTATTGGTCAAGTACAAATATTTAACAAATCTATTAGAAATATGATAGCAAACTTGTGTGAATCTACAGATCGCTGGGACGAAGTAATTGAGCAAGTAGAGTTTTCGATAAATAATACTGTAAATAGGTCGACAGGGTTTACACCAAGTACACTTATATTTGGAATTAATCAGAAAGGTCAGGTTGATGATAATGTAAGAATTTATTTAGAAGAGAATCAAGATTGTGAACGCGATTTAGCAGCTATCAGAGATCAAGCGTCCGTAAATATTTGTAAATCTCAAGAAAATAATAAAACAAATTATGATAAAAAGCATATAACATCACAACTAACTTTGCTCTTTCAGGTTATAAAAGCAACGGCTTCCTTAATACTCGAAACACAGATGACACAATCCCAAATGCATTTTCAACTACTCTACGGGCTCAGCTCAGTCTATAGATGAAAATCCTTTGTTTTGAGCCTCTTTCGGATAACCCTGAATAGGGTTTCATCAAATTATCACTCAAAGCGAAAGCCTCTCCCAAAATTACATATGGCACAGGCGTTTCTTGCCCTTGCAATGTTTCTGACTGTGGCAAATTCAAATGTCCATTTTGTAGATCCTTGTACAATTGTGTATTCTTAAAAACGCCTCCATCAGAAATTCTATCTTGGCAGCCGACATCCACAAAAAGAAAATTATAATTTGCATCCACCAATGCAAATAACACAATACTGTAAAACGACTTGTAATTAAAATAGTCGCTTCCACTTCCAGTTGGACATTGTATAACCACATGTTTTCCGTCTATTGCACCAATAACATGTGAAAAATTCCATTGCTGTTCAAAATTCTCAGAAACATGTAACCACTCCTGTTGACTTTCTGGCATCTGCAAATAAAAATACGAAAATAATACCAAAATATTAATAATCTGTGTTTTTGTGTTTTAGAATGAAGTCACTGATAATATCACAGATGCCGAAGAAGAAATTGTAACAGAAGATTGTCATGATACTACAGAGGCCATTGTTTTCTCAGAAAGTGTACAAAACAGTTCACAGGAGTCAACTGATAATATTGTCCTACAAGTGAAACCAACAGAAGCACCTAAATCTATACCGCCTAAAACAAGAAAACGAAAAGTGGAAAATACATCAGATTCTCGTATTGATGAAGCATTTGATATGCTACAAAGATGTGTGCAACGTGACGCCTGTGAAGTGTATGGTGTATATATTGCCGCGAAATTACGAAACTATAGCGCGCGAACATACGTCTGTGGTACAACATCTTTTTAGTGACATTCTATTTAATGCAGATATGGGCCAATACGATGAAAATATGAATTCTGGACATCCTAGCGACATTTATAGGAACAATGCTCGAGGTGCATCGAGAACATCTACATGTTGTTCCCAACCACTATCACCAAATGATCTTAGCAGCAATGTTTGGTCTACATCTACATCATCTAAGCCATACAATCAACCACCTTCACCATTCACTTCTCAAATTATGTCTCCACAAACACCAAATTTAAACAACAAAGTTGAAACTACCACCCTATTTACTATGATATCACGACCGGTAATTCGAATATACAATCCCTCAATGA